TCATATTATGCATGTGAGGTATCTTAGCAAAAACAAGCAAAAATACAAGATCATAGTCCCTCGATGACGCTATTAAAATTTGCCTTTCAAAATGATCTTAGTCCTTAAAGAAAAATACTAAGATACCTTGCAACATTGCTAATCATGGTTATACGATGACCCACGTCCGTCCCGTTTACATCCAAAGATAGGGTTACTTACCAAATCAATGGTAAGATAACAATGTCAAAGGAAAGAGGAAATTCACATGAAAGACTTTTGAGTGGGTAGAATGCCCCTAGTTACTTGTTCACTTTCAAAACAAAACATCCTTGCTATTTTCAAAACAAACACCTACACTTTTAAAACATCTTACAAACTTGAAAACATTTTCAAAAGATCAAACATCTTTGTATACATTCTTACGAACGAGAATCATTACAAAGTTTGCCTAAACGATGACATCTTTACAAAATACTTTCAAAAAACCACACAAAGCATATTTTCAAACAAAAGCAAGTGATCTAGCAAGTAACTAAGAGCTCATGAAAAACCATAGATGAAAAGGGTGTTAATACCTTCCATTTTCATAATCTACCCCCCGAACTCAAGAAATAATCTCAAAGGTCTTTCCTGTGCTTTTTCACCTTTCCTTTTGGATAAAAGAAAAGTCGGTGGCGACTCTTGCTAACCGCAACATTTGCGATCAAACGCAAAACAACCAAGTCAGTTCTCCCACCGTATCATAGAACTGGCGACTTTGCTGTAGAAAACTTAAAAGTGGGGTTACCTTAGGGCTAGATCACCTTTACTTGCTTTCTTTGTTTGACTTGTGTGCTTTACATTATGGTTCTTTGTTTAGGTTTGAATCCTCTACCCGGATTTGGGATACCTTATAGGTAAGTAGCAATACGTTATGGAAATTGTGCGGGGTATACCGACACGATCTAAGCAATAGCTACGTTAGTGCAACATATTTGTAGGTACCTGTAGCTCTCGAGTAGTTAAGGAGAATACGGGGCCGCTGAGTGATGTCATGAAGCACTAATGAACTTTTAGAACCTTTACTTGACCAACTTGGCCTTTAGGACATAGTGAGATGACCGGCTTTGTTGCAGTTTGAAGTTGGTAGATACTCGATACTACACTCATTGAGGTTTGGGTTTTTGGGATATTCCGGTCGCCATTAAATAGGCTTGCGCTGAAACAATGACCGAGAAAACAAACCAGTGATATTAAGCTCCTTAGAACCGGTTACTATTTCTAGGACAGGTTTAAGGCAACTAAACTTCAAGAGGGTACTTACCTATGAGACTCCATGCAAACCTAAACCTAAGGACTTGTTTGCTTTGTTTGTATATATTTACTTGTACATAACATCATAAACATCATAACATCATACTCATACTCACTAACCATTTCAAGGGTTTTGGGGATTTATCTTTGTTTTGTTTTGTAGGACATGGACTCTATTCACAGGAAAACCATTCAAGTAAATCTTGTAAGGATCCCTCCTCAACTTAAAGAGTTAGCTTCAAGAGTTCCTGAGAATTCTCCATTTACCGAAAGACATGGTCGCCTCCTAAACTTAGTTACCTCCAACACTGATGAGGACATGATGAAGGTGCTCTTCTAGTTCTTTGATCCTCTACACCAATGCTTCACATTTCCTGATTATCAACTTGTGCGAACTTTGGAAGAATTCTCCCAACTCTTGAGGATTCCCATTCTCAATCAACTACCTTTCAATGGTACGGAAAGAGATTCAAAGCCATAAGAGATTTCTCAAGCCCTACACTTGCAACCATCTGATATCACAACTAATTGGGAAACAAGGAGTGGTGTCAAAGGTTTCTTAGCCAAGTTCTTGTTTGAGAAAGCCTAAAACTGTTGGAACTCCTTGGATTTGCAAGCTTTTGAGGAAATTGTGGCTCTCCTCATCTATGGGATGGTTTTGTTTCGAAATCCTGACCAACTCATAGATGTAAACACCGTAAAAATCTTCATGTCTCGTAACCCGGTGCCTACTTTGTTAGGAGACATCCTACATTCTTTTCACTCTCGCACTTTAAGAAATAGAGGTATCCTCATGTGTTGCACTCTTCTATTAGCAAGATGGTTTATTTCGCATCTTCCCTAATCTGTATTGAAGAACGAGCAAGGTTCAAGATGGTCCCATAGGTTGGTGACGCTCAGACATTCAGATATTCAGTGGTGTTCCCGCTCTTTGGAGAATGTTACTATCGTCGACCTTTGTGGAGAATTCCCTAATGTCCCTTTGCTTGGCATTAGAGGAGGTATCACTTACAACCCCTGCTTAGACCTACGACAGTTTGGTTAAGCCCGGAGGGATGGTCCACATGAGATGATTATCCAAGGATTGGTATTCGACTACGAGAATGATAATCAAGGTTACCGTTAGAGGTTAATTCGAGCATGGAGGATGGTGAACAAGGTGGATAGCAAGACACTAGGACACAAGAATTCCATTCCCCTCAAGCCTTATCTTAAATGGCTACGAGCTCGTGCTCAGAAACTTGTGATGCCTTACCCCCTCCATCTTACTAGTCATCGTGGAGCTTGTGGTCAAAGGAGATGTTCCCTACATTATCCTTCATCCCGACATGCCTACCTCTCTCGAAGACTTACAAAAGGGTTGGATCCAGCTGAAGGAAGAACGGGATACTTTCGAGGCTCAATTCTATGCTAGTGAAAAGAGGGTCTTGGAGCTTACGCGGCAGCTACAAGAAGAGCAAAGTGTGAATGCTTATCTCGCGCCAAAGAGGATGCATTCAGTCTTTTTATCTTAGAAAGTTATTTTGTAAGCCCAAGAGGCATGATGTAATCTTTCTTGTTTTGTCTAATGAGAATTAACGTTTGTTTATTCTTTTGTCTATACAAATTTAAATTTCATTAATCCTTAAAATCATTTGCATGTACATATTCCATGCATCATAACATGACAAGTTTTCGCATAACAGGTTTTCTTATCTTTCTGCTGTTTATTTCAGCAAGAGATGGATCTAGAGAAAACTGTGAAGGATCTCCAAACCTAGAATTCTCAGTTTCAGGAGACTCTACTAACCCTAGCCAAGGGGCAGCAAGATATGATGGCTTTGTTGGCCGTTAAGAATAAGCCAAAGAAGAAAGCTCTACTCAACATGGGTAGAAGGTTCAAGGAGACAGTCCGTCAAATCCCAGTAGGAGGAGATTCATCTGAAGAGGACGAGAGCCAGATTGGTGAGGTCAAGAGTACTCAGACTGACTGTATCAACGATCAAGTATTCAATGATGATTATTTCAACGAGAAGTATCCACCCGCTGATATCAAATACAAGCAGTTAGAAGACAGATTGAAAGCTGTTGAAATCCAAGCCGTCCCCGGTTTAGATTTTGATGATTTGGGTTTGATCTCTGGGGTAGTCATTCCCAAAAAATTCAAAATACCAATATTTGCAAAGTACGATGGGGTTTCTTGTCCAAAACTCCATTTGAAATCTTATGTGCGCAAGATACAGCCGCACACTGCTGATAAGAAGCTCTGGGTTCACTTTTTCCAAGAGAGCTTGGCTGGAACGCGACTTGAATGGTTATATCAGTTAGATGGTTCTCGTATTAATACTTGGGAGGATTTAGCTACTGCCTTCTACCATCAGTATCAGTACAACGCCGACTTGGCGCCAACGAGGGTTCAGTTGCAAGATATGACCATAGGGAAGAATGAAGGATTTAAGGAATATACGCAAAAATGGAGAGACCTTGCTTGTAGGATCCAACCTCCCTTGACTGATAGGGAGCACATCGACATGTTCATGGGCACTTTATCTGGTCCTTTCTTTAATCTGTTGGTTGGCTGCTCTTCTTCTGGTTTCACCGAATTGATCTTAACCGACGAAAGAGTTGAAAGTGGCATCAAAAGTGGGAAGATCTCTGTGGCATCTACCTCCACTTCCAACCCTATCAAGAAACCTTTTGTTGCAAAGAAGGAAGTCAATATTGTGTACAGAACGCATTGACTTCGTTGGGCCATCGATCCTGTCACAGCAGGAAACGCGACGAAACCCAACACGGGAAAGGCGAGGACGGGGATGCGGAACCGGGGGTCATTACCGGGTTCCGGGGGACCACTGATTAATCTGTTTTTTTATGTAATAGTTATGTGTGTAATCATATTTTGTAAATAAAAAGTCAATATTGTTGATTCTATATCGAATACGTAACGCACTGCATTTAAAATAAAAAACGCGAAAATTTACCTTCCAATTGCACTAAGGCGCCATCTCACTTGGCTTAAGGCAAGCCTTTAACACCTAGGCGCCAAGTGAGATGGTGCCTCCCCTTAAAAATTAGGTGTATGCGCCAAGTGAGATGGCTCCTCCCTTGGAGAATTTTCTGAAACATAATTATTTGCGTAATTTTTTCCGAAACATGGTTATTCTAAAAAACAAATCTTTTCTGAGATATATCTTATTAGTTTATGTGGTATTGCAGGAACTCAATACTGTTTCAAGGTGCAATTTGTAATATTTTAAAATAGTTGGAAGAATTAAAAGGATGTATTGGAATGGTTTCATGTTTTTTTTTCGAGAGTTCCATAGATCATACTTGGGAAGAGTGAGAATTGTATCCGGATAATTTTATGGTTTGTAAAGAGTCTGCATAGGGGTTGTTTGCCTTGTTGTTTTTTGTGGTGCGTGGATTTTTTCCCGTTGTATTTGTGTTGAATACCACCTGTAATCCTTTAAATACATTTTACTTATAAAAAAAAACTCATTATAAAATCTACAGATATGTGATTTGATGAGAACCGCAACTAAGATTTGCAAAAGTTGATTGTTGTAGGGTTTATGAGATTGAGAAGTATTGCCATATAAAAAATGAAGTCATTTTCAACTTTGTTATGCGTCTATATTACTTTGCCATTAAAAAAAGTCATAGTACTCAAATTCAAAACCCATAATGCAGCAAAAAAAATCCAAAGAAATTAAAAAACATAAGAAATTGAACTAGCGTCATATTTGTCACATTACATCATCTTCTTCGTTAGGAGGCAATTCATTCAAGTCAAATCCTAAATCTTTGCGTTCATGTACCTTTTCTTCAGCTGACTCGAGTGCAACATTAGAGGTCCCTTCTATCTCCATTCGTTGAACGTCATCATCAACTATTAACAAAAGAAAACATTCAAATTACCAAACACCCACTAACATAAACCATCATTTTTTTAATATGTTAATATTATACTAAGATGATATTTTTACAATTATATTATTAAGATCAATTGTTCTTTGTTTAAATATTCACACCTCCTTACTTGCATAATTTAATATTAGTATTTCCTACTTAATAATATATATATAGGATACCATGCGATTAGGAGGAAAATCAAAAGAAATGTATAGTGAATATACGACATAATAATATAAAAATTTAAAAAAAAAATGTTAAAAAATTAGGTTATAGTTTTACCCTTATTAAGATCGAGTTGATGTAGGTTGGTTGTTGTCTGAGAATAGCTGGAATCAAGTGCTGAAGAAGAACCAATAGAAATACAATTAGGTTGTTCTTCCATGTGGCCAATAGCAGAAGGATTCTCTTTCTCTTCATTATTCTTTCTCTTCTTCAAAGCTTGACCTTCACTCACTCTGTCACCATTCTCATCCACCCTCCAATCTTCACCGCCGCCGCGACCGGTATCCTTATCACCAGTGCTGGACTCAATCAACACTTCAAGAGCTGTTTTCAGGCTGCTTTCTTCTTCCCTTGAACTTTTAGGATTGGAGGTTGAGTCCTTTGAAGGGCTAGGGTTAGGGTTAGGGTTAGGGTTAGGTTCCTGCATGTTGAAAGTGACAATGGAAGATTGAGTTTGTGTTGTGTGTGTTGTTTCAAAGAGTGATTGGTTTATTTATAATGGTTTTGTGATTAATGTAAAGATCTTTCAAATGATACCATAATCGATGAAATGTGATTTTGTCTTTTTAGGTAAAAAAATGGCGGGACCGATATCATGAGATTTAGTAAAGTTTTAAAAAAAATAATACTATTATTTTGATGGGATATTTTTGTAAAGTTAAAACGGAATACAGTGTATATGTTTCTTTTGACAAAAAAAATACAGTGTATATGTTGATTATTAGATTTGTTAGGACAAATAATAAATACTGTGAAATTTATTACCAACTGGATGAAGATTTCCTATATATTCGATAAGTAAATATTCCTAAGATCTTAAAAATCAAATTCAATTAATTTATCCTTATTATTTTTCTGGTATTTTGAGATGGATTGTTCATGATACGTTGTATGTATTCACTACCATTTAAGTTAGATATGTGTCAAATTTTCAAATTTTAAATTTACTAAGAAATGACCAAATTCATATTTAGAGGTGTTTATATTATTTAAAGATACAATTTAAAATTAAAAAAATCTTAGTAGAGGGGGATTATTTTTCTTCCCATCTCAACTCCTCAGGTGACCACCTTAGTCACTCATATATCAGTAAATCCGCATATTTGAAGTCTTATCGAGGAAGGTCCTTGGCCAATAAAATTATCAGACAAGAGTCTTTTTGGTTGACAATGGAATCCGACGGTATTAGGTTTGTCATGATCTGCCATCAGTGCCAAGTACATTGTAATATGAGCCACTTGTCGCCATCAACGATGCATACTCTGTCTTCGTCATAGTCGTTCTCAACATGGGGGATAGATATTATCGGGGAAATAGTAGCCTCTAACGGGCACAGGTACATTGTGGTAGCGATTGATTCTTTCTCGAAGTGGCTAGAAGTCGACTCCTTCGACAAGCTGGGGACACAGAAAATGGCACGGTTCATAGGTTATCAATCTTCCCATAAGGGAAAAGGCATAGCAAGCATGCTACGAATCCCTCAATCAAGCTTGAAAGCGAGTTTCAGTGATATGAGGGTGAATAGATAGAATACCTGAATTGGAATTCCTAGAGTGATGTAAGTCGTGCTTTTCGGTAAGGACTAATTCGAAGATCTTAGTGAATAGGGCATATGACAAGGATCTCCTTGATCAAACTTTGAGCCACCCTGGACCTTTTTTGCGAGTAAGTAAGTAAACTTGTTTTGTTTTAGTTTATAAGGCGAAAGGTTGCTATTTTTCTAATTATTATAGCGTTAGCGCTTTAGTTTTCAATAAATTTAGGCTTGACTAAGAACATAGAATTGTTGAACCAGGGTGTGCAGGGAACCCGATCTTTCCCTTCAAATGACAACTGACTCTTCCTCTTGCGAAGGCCTTGCACGAAACCAACCCCCACCCCCAATATAGTACCAGTTGTTTCGCTGGTAGGCCCACTTAGGTTAGGGGGAATTGTCCCTCAATTCTTACCAGCCTCCGGTTTGTAATCGACATGTTGTTAACTTCAACTCGGTTGGGGTGTGGGTGTGGTGGGTCAGTTGAGATATTTTATATCACTGTCTGATTTGGTTACAGGTGGATGTTTCGAATTGGGTTCTGAAACCGTTTAAATTTAACAATGAATGGTTTGGTAACAAAGACTTTTTTACTTTTGTTGAAAAGGAATGGAAAGATATGGAGGTTGAAGGAAGAAGTGATTTTGTTCTTAAAGAGAAACTGAGGTTGCTTAAAGTTAGGCTCAAATGGTGGAATTCTGAAATTTTTGGGAGGTTTGACTTGGAGGTTAATGAGGGAGTGAGAGATATTACTGTGGTGCTTTGTCTGGTTTTGATGGCGTTGTTGGATCAGACGAGTAAATAGTCAATAGAAGGGAGGCTTCTAGTCATTTTTGGATAAATCTTAGGATTAAGGAAAATATGCTTATTCAGAAATCTCGGTTGAAATAGCTAAATGATGGAGATTCCAGCAGCAGGTACTTTCATTGTGTCGTGAAGGAGAGGAGGATACGTAATTTTATTGGATCGATAATCACATAAATCGTTCTTTTGGATACTGTCAAAGAGGTTATGGATGAGGTGATGAACCATTTTTATAGGAAGTTTGTTGAATCTAATTTGGGTCGGAGATCAAAGGGATTCCCTTTAAATCTCGGAATCATTCATAAAGGTCTTTCCTAAAAGTTCCTTTTTTCGGATTTGGAGATTAAGGAGGCTGTGTGGGGTTGCAAGGGGTCAAAATTCTGGGTTTGGATGGATATTCTTTTTTGTTCATTCGGAGATGTTGGTCTTTTCTTAAAGATGATTTCATTTGGTTCTTTAAAGATTTTCATAGAAGGGTCATTCTTTTGAAAGCGGTCATTTCTTCTTTTTTTACGTTAATTCTGAAATCTTCCAAATCTTTGGGATTGGATGATTATAGGCCTATTTGTTTTGTTGGATGTCTTTATAAGGCTCTTTCTAAGCTTTTGAAGGCGATATTGAAAGCAATGTTGAGTTCTATTGTGTTGAATTGTCAAAGCGCTTTTGTGTCGGGAAGGCAATTTCTTGACGGTGTTTTGGTGGCAAATGAGCTTGTGGATTATGCCACAAAGGAGAAGAAGAGTTGTATTTTTTTAAGGTCGATTTCGAAAAAGCTTACGAAAAGGTGAGTTGGGGTTTCCTTAGAAGTATGATGAGGAAGATGGGATTTGACGATCTTTGGATGAGATGGATGTAGCCGACCATTTTTTCGAGCAATATGTCGGTTCTAGTCCATGGTAGTCCTACGAGGGAGTTTAAGAAGGAGAGGGGTTTGAGACAAGTAGATTTTTATCTCCTTTTCTCTTTGTTTTTGTAGCGAAAGTATTATCAGGATTGGTTAGCAAGTCGTTGGAATTAGATGAATTTGCGGGTTTCAACATCAACGGTAAATGTATTGTCAATATTCTTTAATTCGCAGACGATATTATGTTGGTTGTGTTGGTGGTTAGAAGAATGTGTGGGCATTTTGAGATAGTTTCGGGTCTTGGTATCAATTACCACAAGAGTATGCTCATGGGAGTTAATATTAATCCTAACTTTATGGAGGCGGCTGCGAGTTTTCTCTCTTGTAGACGGAGGGAAAAGAATTCACTTTCTTGGTATTTTGATTGGATCCAATCCTAGGAGGATTGTGACATGGAAATCGTTACTAACCAAGTTAAAGAATCTTCTCTCTAGTTGGAAGGGTTAGTTTCTTAGTTTTGGCGGTAAAGTTACTCTTTTGAAATCCATCCTTTGTAGTCTTTCGATCTTTCTTCTCTCCTTTTACAAATCTCTGGAGAAAATTAGGAAAGAGATTGTTAAGATACAAAGTCGTTTTCTTTGGGGCGGTTCATAGGATTGTTGTAGGATTCATTGGGTGAGTTGGAAGGATGTTTGTCTTCCGGTCAAAAATGGTGGGTTAGGCATTAAAAGGATCAAAGACTTCAACGTGGCGCTTTTGCAAAAATGGAGGTGGAGAATTTTAGTTGGTTCTAAGGATTGTGGTATTGTGTTTTGAAGTCCTGGTACAGGGACATTAACTTGCAGGTTTCGATTACAGGGAGTCGAATTAAAAATAATATGTTGAAGCCTTCTTGGTGGTCGGATGTGCTTTCCATTGAGAAGAAATTTTCTGAGGATATTTTCTTGTCTTTCTGCAGGTTCTGAATAGAAAGAGGTTAACACAAATTCATTTTGGCACGCCCACTGGTTTGGAGACAGCAGTCTTAAATCGTTTTTCCCAGCTCTATTTTCTCTTCACTACTACAAAAAATACATCTAACATCGGACGCGAAATGCGTTTGATATTGGTTACAGAATCGAGGTAGATGAGGGTGTCGTTAAATGTTATCCCTTATCACCTTGGGTATTAAAACACCGAGGGGTTATGTTAACTGCATGTGGGTTCGATTCCCATCCTCGGCGTTTTTATTATTTTACTTGATGGCGCCCCCATTATTAACACTCGGATTTTTGATGAACTGAGGTAATATATCAATATTATTAATTCAGTTTGGTTAGGAAACCGAGGGGTTATAAAAAAAAAATTCTACTGTCGTCTGTACCTGAATTACAAAATACATAACCACAGAATACAAAATATAGAACCAATGCAACCCCAAAATGGCGCGTCCATTCCTTAATCTGAAACCAAAATATTCATTGATTACAGCATATACAAACCCAAAAGGTACACACTTTATAATTTTACATCAAAACTAAAACAAATGATTAAGAAACAAAAGAAATAAACCATTTACTTACTAGTTTTCCCATATGCCATCTTCATGATCACGACGAATAGCATTCACATCATCTAAGTCATTTTCTTAAGATGATTGACTTACACGTGTTGCTAAATGTAATACGGTGGGAGAACTGACTTGGTGTGTTTTGCGTTTGATCGCAATTGTTGCAGTTAGCAAGAGTCGCCACCGACTTTTCTTTTATCCAAAAGGAAAGGATGAAAAGAACAGGAAAGACCTTTGAAATTATTTCTTGAGTTCGGGGGCTAGATTATGAAAAGGGAAGGTGTTAGCACACTTTTCATCCATAGTTATCTATGGGCTCTTAGTTGCTTGCTAGATCACTTGTTTTGTTTGAAAATGTACTTTGTGGTGGTTTTTGAAAGTATTTTTGAAAAGGCTCCTTCGTTTAGTCAAACTTTGTAATGATTCTCGTTTCGGTGAAAATGTATACAAAGTGTTGGACTTTTGAAAATATTTCATGTTTTGAAAGTGTTTGGTGTGTGTTTGTTTTGAAAGTGTTTGGTGTTTGTGTTTTGAAAGTGAGCAAGCAACTAAGAACGTTTCTACCTACTCAAAAAGTCTTTTGTTCATTTCTATCCTTTCCTTTGATATTGCTATCTTACCATTGATTGGTAAGAAGCCTTATCTTTGGATGTAAAGGGACGAGCATGGGTCATCGTATAGTCATGATAGCCATAT